ACAAAGCGAATAGTATTGATTTCGTAAATTATTTATTTACATATGAATACACATGGGGAAGCAAAAAGCAAACCCGAACAAGTTTATTGATATGTATCGAAAAATATTTAAATATTCTATTCCGTCTTAAACTTTGAATATTTGAATAGCTAACTTCAGCGATCCTAAAAACTTTCTACTTTTCTTAAACCAGCCTATTTACATTTTCTGAAGAAATATGATCAACCAAATTCATACTTTGCTCCTCATAATTAGCGTTACCCCTGTATCGTCTAACCACAATTTGCAACAACTCGAAAGCTTAATCCCTTCTAGGTCGACTTTTCATATAATTGGCGATTTCAATATTGTACATGAAACATCCAGGGAAGCAAAAATATTTAAATTTCTCCTACATAACCAGCACTTTCTTAAAGTATTGTTCCACCATCCAACAAATCACCACATTCAAACTAATCTATACTACGGATTTTGCAAAAGAAAAATTGATTACGTATTTTCCAACTATTTCGGACACTCTACGATACGGATTTCTTTCATATTTCGACCCGATTTGGGTTCAAATTACCAGATTGGAAAACTCAGAACAGTAGGTTATTGTAGGGTAAATCCAACCTATATATTCCTCATTTTAAGCCGGCTAAACCACAAGACGTTTGAACCTTCTCCCCATGTGGCATCAACAACGAAATGGTTATCCATGATAAGGGCACGAAATCTTTACAAATTTTAGTTGTCTGCCTTCCGTGCATCTTATCCCATTCCCTCCAACTAAAAGTGCTAGTGGGTGACTTGGCTTCCTCGTGGAAAAAATATAATTTCAACTTGCAAGGCTTGAAAATGAAGACAGGATATTATGCCACGTTCTATCCGGAACTACAAACATGCAGCGCTGTTGAACGCGGCAGTAAAACATTTTTTAGTTATATATTCTGTTCCCAGATGGCTCTAGGGGATAAACTTAACTTTTCACACGTCAGGATATCCGGTCTGGGAGATTCTAATCCTCACTCATTTCAATATAAAATGAATTATAACATGCTTCAGAATAAGTATGGATTTGAACAGTCATATTTATTTCCCGCATATGCACGAGATTCCTATGTTACGTACTGTGGACAAAAAAATTATTTCAAAATGGCGACAGTGTCTTTGAGTAAGCTTAAATTGGAAGGCTTGCAGGCTCTCGTGATGCCACTTGACCTCTATACGTGGTCAGCATGTATAGTGTGCTTCACACTGGTGGCTATATTTCTGAGCAGAATTGGAATAAAGGAAGGTGGCAAAAATAAAACATCAATTTTCAACTTTATCCAATACTGGCAGTGGATTTTGTCCTGCTTATCGGCTCAGTACCATGGAACCCCTAATGTTTTGCGGCTACTACCAAATTTTCCGATATTTGTTATTATTTGCGTCTTATCCTTCTATCTCCTGGGGACGGTGTTTTATCAAGGGTCCATGTATTCCTCACTGGTCGCCGTTAGCCCGCCAGATATCCCATCAACCCTAGAATCCGTGGTCGACTCAAAAATTCAAATTATTACCACAAGCAGTAGCGTAGATCCAGAGGATACCAGCCGAAGGATATCTCTATTAAAGTACATAACGAATGAGGACGTTAATAACATCACCATTAATTCTACAAGGCTACTGCATATTCTTATGAAATTTAAAGAAATGCCAAATTTTATCTATTCCGAACCCGAGTCCCATTTTGTAGTTGGATTAGATATTTCTGCAAGAAATGATATCCACTTTGAGAATAACGTCTTCAAGCAGGTTATGGACACGTTTGCCATCATAAATTTGGATTACGAGCTGGACAACTTTTTCTCGGGGATTAAAGTGAAGAATAATCCGTATATTAATCGACACATAGAGGAGCCAATCTTTTTTCTAGAAATGCCCATAAGTATTACCCGTGGCTTCATTAGTTCCGCCATAATTGAAGGCTTTGGTCAGTTGGAGCAGTCAGGTATATACAGATTGTGGCTGGATTTAGGAATTAAGAAAGCTTTCATGGAAAATATTTTAGATAAAACATCGAAGAATGTATATAGAGAAGCCGTTCTTATGCGGTTTTTTGGAGCAAGAGAGAATATAGTCTTTGAAGAGGGTAAGCAAGTCCCCCTGTCGGCATTGTTAGGTGTGCTGTGGTTGTGCGCCGGTATATTAGGAGTAGCCATAGTGACGTTCATACGAGAAGTTGTAACCTATGAAATGTTGATATATCTGGGTAAAAAGTTTAGAAGTACTGCCACCAAGGTGGTGATCTTCGTGAAACTTGTAATTTCTAGAAGTGCTGATGTATTCTGTGGAAGTTGGTAATAGCCGGGGATTAATGGGGAAGCTACATATAATATTATTTATGTATCACTTACACATACCCAGTAGTTTAAGTTGTAACAGGAATAGTGTCCTTACCTGATGTTCAGAATATTTGACGTTGTCGTTAGCGGAATTGATATGAATTTCATTTAAATATGACGGTAAAATAGCAGGTCAGTAAATATATGTAGTCGAAGCTCCACCGCTCCCATTCTGCCGATTGTTTGCATTTTAATATACTTGGTGCCATTTGCACTTGGGTTTTGACTTTCTTTCCAAGTTGGGCAAATCACTAGGTGGGAATCTCCTCTGTATCCACCTTGCGACATCGAGAGTTGAGTCGGGTCGTCGTTTCTCAGAATTCGACCCAATCTGTCTCTCAAATATCAAAAAAGTCTGAGCTCCCTGATTCGTATCTAAAACACAAAAAAAACGATTTCACCAATTTCTCAAATAACACCTTTGCCTCCTGTACTCCACACAGAGTTTTGGATAATCACTCACAATCTCTTTACTATCAGGAATTATCCTTAAAACTTTAGTTCAGTTTAGTTCAGTTTTGCCTTAAGAGGACAACCCCTCACCGACAAAGTCACCGATCTTGATGCCCTTTGGATATGTCTTACCAGGTATACTATTAACATGGGTGGAGAGTCCAGGGTACCCACTATGTTTTTTAGTGGGTACCCTGGACACGAACGACAGGTCGTGAGTGTCCCTTGTAAGTCCAAAATGCATCAGAAAGAAATCCAGTCGATTTGCATATTTTTGAAAACTGAGTTGACCACATTTTCAGATAAGTTATGAATTGCATTTTAAATTAAAAAATTGGAGGCCAACTTGGTGATTGATTATTTTGAATGAAGAATGGTGATTCAAAAGTGGAATATAAAATTTTACTATCTAACTAGCTTGGCATAAATACTTACAATGAGAACGACAAAATGTTGACTTCCCAAACAATTTTGCGACACAGGTGCGTATGACTCAGATGTGATCCGGACAAATTGTGGACAAAAGAAAGATGGGTAAGACTAAATATGGAATAATAAATGTGGAAGGCGCAAAATGTGGATAAAAAAATAATGTGGATACACCAAATATGGAAAAGCGATTTTAAGCTGCAGGTTCTATTTTTGTTTCAATGTTCACCTGACATGAAAAAAATTATAAGAAAGATAAAGTGTTCGCATACTGATGAAGAAGGTTTTTACTCTTCCGCTTCTAACATACCAAAGCCTCTTAATTACATACAGACGTCAGCGGTCATTTTTAATGATAAATTGTCGACTTATTTTAGCCATATTGAAAATTGTTTAAATTAAATTTTCGAGATTTTGCGTATCCACGTTTTGATATTATCCATATTGATTTCATTCATATTTTTGCGGTGATATTTCCCATTATCCAGATTTTGTCACCAACCCGACTCAGATACTAAAGTTGGAGGACATTAGCATTGCGAGATGTGAGATGGGAGATGGTTATTTCTGGAAATATGGGGACGTCTAAAAACTTAGGGTAGCCTGACCGTCCCCCCCCCTCCCCAGCAACTGGTCAAGCCTTGCTCGCCAGTGCAATCACTCCATACAAATAGAGTTCAATTTATGGAATTTATTAGCAGATGGAGATAACAATGTTATATAATTTCGATAAATTGACGAGTTGATTGTCACCACGAGAGTTGGCTGTGATATTCATACATAAAATGTTTGCTTATCTTAAACAATGGTCCCATAGAAATACCAAAGTTTTATTCCCAATTTTCCCAATCTTAAGAGCTGGAGAACAATGCATTTATTTATGTAAGTCATAGGCACAGAAGTCATAGGTGCGTCATAATTTTAAGTTATTCATTTACGAATGCCAACTGCCACATGAATCTGTTGTGTCATATCAGTCATTTATTTTAACTAAAGTCTCCTATCCAGCAAGGATGGGCAATATATTTTGTGAAAATGCAGTAAATCTTGACAGGGTTTGGATTTCAAGGACTTTAACGCCCACAGAAAGACGAAAGTTTACGTAGAGAAGACAGAAGTCATACAGCTTTTTTGAAGGAAGTAATTTTTCATCATTCTCAAAATCAGTGTTTTAAAGTTTCCCAACTTGGTTGATTTTTACCATCGCAGTGGTAAAAAGTGGCAAAAAGTGGTATAAACTGTTATTAAGTGGTAAAAACTCAGGATTGGTTCCTTTACAGTCTGGGAAACCCAAACTAAATGATGTTCTTAATAGTACGTAAATACTTAACGGTTTAACATAATTTTCCTCGCCTTATCATCGTTAAATAAATTATTTGTTGTTAAATATTCTGAAATTAGTCTCACTATACCCCAAGCAGGATTTTACCACTTCATACCACTTTGGCTCGGTGGTAAATATCGGTAAATACCAGTATTTACCAGTGGTATCTACCACTTGGTAAATACCACTTTAAACACTGGTCAAAATACATTTTTTCCAAGAGTTCTTATGAATAAAATGCCGTATTTTGCCCACCCCTGCTAAATATCCAGACACCCAATACTTGTTAACCTCACATTTTAATTGGATTTTGATAACATTAACATGTTGCTCATAAACATTTAATTGCCAATCCAAAAATTATTACACTACACGATATCGTGCAATGTTGTTTGACACGAAACAATGAACTGATAAAATTTAGATAAGTATTGAGGACGCTGCTTAAAAAATTGTCATTCAGAAGGACATTATTCCTGCCTGAATAATCAATCCTGTCTTCAATTTAGTTAGTGAGCTGATCGGAGAGAAAACTAATTTGTGGGCTGCGGTGGAATAAATTTTCCAGAGGTTCAGGTACGTATTGTCCAATAACTATTCTCAAAATAATAATCCGTTCAAAAAATCACCAGCATCGGGAGGGTCCATACATATATTACGTCATCATTTTAGTGTATGGGTGGTTTAGGTCTTCCTATGTTAAAATTCCCTTAGTGAATACGCTGGGTGGGTGGTTGGGTGATAAAATTGAAAATTTTTTATGACGTAATGCATGGACGTTCTCATACATAACGGATAAAAATCTAAAATTTTCAATCGAGTCATTCATCCTTTCTCAAACTCTCTTTACTTTTGACTCTTTCCACAATTAAAAATATATAATTTATCGAAAATTTAAAATGAAATTTCAAATATGATTCCGAATTTACAACTTGACCAGTACAATTTTGATTGCAATTTTACAGGTTAAGGAGCAATATCATGAAGAAAATTGTGCCGTTAGGATTCATCGGCATTTTTCTTGTCGTGGTCCAATTGGGTCAAGGTTATCTGGAGAAAAGGTTCATTTATACACTTTATCATATTCACATATTCTTCAAATATTCATCTGTGCACTTTATACAATCCAGTGATCAATTAGTTAATGCGATAAGCCAAGATAAGAATTAATTGCATTCATGTTATGCTTCCATTGTTCCCATTGAAAGTAGTAAGATTTATTATACATATTTAGTTATGTATTTATCGTGTTTATGTATGTACGTATTTATGGATATTCTTCATAGAAAATGTGATTTTATTCAACCAAAAGTAATTTTTATGGAGTAACTAGCTCATAAGCCCGTCACCCGCATGGCGAAAGTTGATTTATTTTGCTTTCGAAATTCAAAATTTCACTCAATTCTTATGCCCACGGAAGTAAAATCAAATCGTAACGAAAGAAAAAGTGCAAAATGAGAACAGAATATCGATAATATCGAGAATTATGATCCTATTCCCAACATTCTCTATGTTCTCAATATTATCGATAATATAGAGATTTTTGATAGTGATGATATTTCGATACTCTGCTCCAGAACGGAATATCGAGAGAATGTTTTATAATCTGTGGGCACCAAGGCTGCAGATTTCCAATGCTTGAAAAATTTTCCCTTCACTCTAAAACAAATCGAGGAAAATGTACTCAATTTTGAGTGAAATTGCCACCAAGACAACTATTGAGTAAAATTTACCCAGCCAACGTTAAAAATTACTCAAGGTTGAGCAAAAATCTTTCAAAGTTGGATAAATTTTAACTTTTACTGGGTTACTTTTACTCAATAGTTGTCTTGGTGGGAATTTCGCTCATAATTGAGCGAATTTACTCGATATTTTTTAGAGTGTATTAGCTCATATTTTCTGTTATTGTAACAAATTGATCGAGCTTACAATTTTTTCAGACAAGGAGACAACCCAGACGAGGAGGCTGCCAAGATATTTCTTGATGGATATAATCAAGAATACGCCAGGCTGGCTAATTTATACGTGATCGCAGACTGGAACTATAACACCAACTTGACCGATGAGAATGCTGAGGCTTCGGTAATAAAAATATATGCAAACACCCAAAAATACTTAATAATTAGAGTTGAGACAGTTAAAATGTTTATGAGATGAGCTGCCCGTATAAAAATTGTGCGGCGACTCCTGCGTAACACCGCACACCTATTTGGCATAATAATTTATGCAGTAAATTGTTCATAATTCTGCATAAAATGTTTGGAGAGTATATTCACTGTGTTCTGCAGACAGGTTTATGAACGGATGTTTCTGATAAGCTACTTTTTTTCATGCAAAGCTTATGGCTAATATTCTCTCTGTTTAATAAATAAATCATAGCAGAATTATGCATAATCCTGCACAGTTTATGTACAAATCACGCTCCATAAATTTTTCTGCGTACAATTCGGCCAAATTTCTGCATAAAATCCGTTAAATTTTTTAGATGAGTGTAGCGAGATGAGATGAATTATAATAAGATGAGACCCGTGAGTACTAACGCGTCTCATCTCGTCTCATCTCATGTGAAAATGAGATGAGATGAGACAAACTACAGTTTCGGCGATCCCATGACATTAATTGAGGGGTGAAAACCCCTTTATGGGAATGTCTTGTCTGTCTGTCCGTCCGTCTGTCTGTCTGTATCCACGATAACTTTAGAACGGATGCGAATATCGAGATGCGGTTTGCGCCAAAGTATTTCGAATTTTTGAAGTATGGATGAGTTCGAAGATGGGCATTGTAGGTATTAAGGTCACGGCGCCATGGCGACGACGCCGTGTCGAATAGGTGTCGAATTTTTTGTTTCGACGGTTTTAGATGTATTTTGGGACGGGGATTTCGAAAATCGACATCATTTTGACGTACCATGACCGTGTGACCGTGTAGACGACGCCACTTGAATTATGCCATGTGGGGTATCTATCGAAAGGTATTGTCATGTACGTTCAAAGTACGGGGGAGTTATGTCGAAACGGGGTGAAATGAGACGTGGGGTAATGTGAGACAATTGGGGAAAATGACGGGAAAGTATTGAAAGACGATGTGGGTGTGCCACAAGGACATTTACGTGTGTTTTCACCCCTTTGCTACATTTCGTTTGCAACGGTTTATTTCTTCCGTATTCGTTGCCTTTATGAGATAAGGTGATATACATAAATACTCGTTTCATCGTATGTACAGACAATAAATCAACTTTGTTTGGAAATAAATATTTAACCCTGAAAAATTGTGGTCATGGTGCAGGAGGAAGACATTTGTCTTTTCCGGAAGGTCGTTGACTTTCACCGTTTTCTCTAAAAATAGGAAAATCTTTGGTCATTTTTGGGGATTTCTCCTATGCCACCCAAATGTTAAATTTAAACATTTTCTTGCCGAAAAGTGGGACATTTCCCAATATAACGCAGTGCTAAATTTTGGATTTTTAATTTTTTTGAGCTTTATCAAAACTACTGAATTCCTACTTCCACACCGTGACAACAATATACAGGGTGGTTTAAATGTCACGCAACAATGGAAAATTTTCCGATGGGAAAAATCCCTAAATCCCCATTAGTTACAAGATTTTGGATTAAGATTTTTATAATTATTATCAAAACTGATGGAAAACTGATGACGAAATTCTTAAAACATTGAATTTTAGAGACAAAATTTCGGTAACTAATGGAAATTTACAAATTTTTCTCATCGAAAAATTTTCCATTGTAGCGTGATATTTTAACCACCCTGTACGTATAATATATGAGCTATAATATGGCTAAGCTCGGTCTCATCTCACTAGGTACTGAGGAGGTTTATCTTACTCATTTTCGTCTCACCGGTAACTCTATTTGGCGATAGAGGTTTGCCTAAAACTTGAACTTATTTAATTACCCCTAATTAAAATTTAAGTTGCAGAAATCATTTAATAAATTATTGCATTACTTCCCACCAACATATTTTACAAATGTTTAGGCCAGAATTATTGTTTAAACATATAAACATGTTTTTATTATGTTTCACTCAAAACGTTAATATTTTTCCTAACCTGACATAGTTTTGAAGGCAGCTTCATTTTTGCTAAATATTTAAATGGATCACACAACATTAATATCTAACATGTAATTTAACACGTAATTTTTCACCATGACTAATACCTGACAGATATATATATTTAAACTTAAAACTCATATAAAAAAATCATAAAAATTTATATGTTCAAGCATTTTAATCCAAAATCTAAATAATGAATTTTAGATCGAGGCCGGATTCGTGTTAAGTCAATACGAAGCCTTGGCAAACGAGGAGGCGGGAAAATTTAACACGACCAACTTTTCACAAGAAACGAAACGGCAACTTTTCTACGTTGGGAGTAAATCGCTTTCAGACGCGGAAATGAAAAATCTTAGTTCGCTGATTTCAGAAATGGGTTCAATATATGGACAGGTGACTTATTTCCTTACGTACTTCAAATTATGTGGGACGTTGAAAATTAATTGTTGGTGATGGCTGTGCACAGTATGCATAAGAATAAATAAGAATAAAACAGAGGTGAAAACTGGATTTAATAAATCCAACCCAATCCATCCATGGGTTAGATTTCTATTTAAAATTTCTATTTTCTATTTCTATCAAAACCATAGATTTCAAGTTTTCCCACCTTACGTATCGATACACTCTTAAAATCATGTTAACCTTTTGGATTAAATCCAGAGTATCGTTAACTTGACAAAGAGTGCAGTTTAATACTCTGGATTGTGTGTAGTTTACTTAATTTAGAATTCAAAATGTATTTACTGCTCAAAATGGTAACATTATTTTTAAGAGTGTAGAATAACATTTTCCAATACATTTTGATCCAATCCATTGGATTTGATTTTTTTTGGGAAAAATCCATGGGATTGGATTACATTGTCATTTGGATGGATCCTCTTCAGCTCTTTTAGAATAATCAATTCCAATTCGGAAAATTATGGAGGTCAAAAAATGCTAGGGGAAGGTCCATAAATTATGTTACACGAGAAAGAAATAGGGGATGTAAGACTCCAATGAAATCGCGTTTATGTCTAAAAATCCCGATTTTTGCGCCACATAATTCATGGATCTATTTAGGGAACAAGTTATGGTTTTCTACATTTTCTGTCGGATTTTTTTAACCAATTAATTAGTTCCCACATTACCACATTTATGAACCACCCTTTACAGTATTTTTTCTGGATTTTCTAACAGGGCAAAGTTTGTCGCCCCATCCCGAACGGGGAAGAAGAATGTCTTTCTCTCGAACCAGAACTTACCAATCTTATGGCAGAGTCGAGAAATGCGTCCGAATTGCTCTGGGCGTGGGAGGGATGGAGAAGGGAAGTCAGTAGGAAAATCAAACCTTTGTATTTACAGGTAAGTGGAAAATTTGGTGGAAAAATCAGGTGGAAAATTTTACCCGGGTTAACTTTAGTATCGTCGGCTTAGTGAGTAATATAGTCCAAAACGCGGCAAAAATAAATTCAGTCCTCATTTTTGAACGGCTTGATATATCGACTTTTTGTTTTCTGAATGAATGCCAATCGCATGGACTATAAAACCACCCCCTTTCGCCTCAATGACAATTTTTTGTATGAATAAAGCCATTTTCAAAAATATTTCATCTTTCATAAATACCCTCTATGTTGAGACACAAAGCGATCTTATCCAACTACCCGTCGGGAACGCGTCTCGCTATTAATGGGCCCTTTTCTGATGATAAGTTATAAGGAGATGATACACACACTCGAAAGACACATTGGCATTACTTTTAACAATTTATTGCAATCTCTTCAATTATCAACAATTACAAAAATGAGAATTGCACACACAAGAAAAAGACTACCTCTCTACTCGAGTTCCAACGGACGACGACTTCTTTTCTCTCTTACTCACACAAAGAAGGAAGCGAGGGTAAAATATGAAGGGAAATACAAACCATAGGGGCAAACTAATAATCATATAATAATGTATAATCCAACATCCTCCCACCTCTTTCGAGAGTAAAACGAACAAAAGAATTAATCTACATTTACACACATATAATTCCAATGATCATAACGCGACGGCTTCTTTACTTGTCTCCCGGCTCGCGTCTTGACAATCACATCTTGTTTCGAATCAGCACGGTCCATCTCTTGAATCCTTTCGCTGATTGGCAACTCATCTGACGAAGACAATTCCATGGGGTATAGACGTTGAAAGGGTCTCGTCAACACGTGTCCTTTCTTCACCTTGGTGACTTGCAACGTACCAAACTTTCCAATCTTCATCTCGTAGTCATGTGCGGTTTGAACCTTCGCCACTCGGATGATTCCATCTCCACCAGGGATGACCTCTATGACTTTTCCAACAGGCCACTCATATCTCTTCTTGTTGTCGCATCCAATGAGTACGACGTCTCCAACCTTTAGAACTGGACTCTTCCTTTCCAGCCCCCTCTGCACAAGTTGGGATAAATATTCACTTCGGAATCTTTGCTGTAGTTGACTCTGGACTGACTTCATCCTTCGATAGGACTTTTCAAATCCACGTTGGTTGATCATTTCTCCTTCAGGGAAATGAGCACTTCGGGTTGGATGTAGGAACATGGCTGGGGTGAGTGGAATCAGGTCCCCATCATCTTCCGTCATAACTGTCAAGGGTCGATCATTGATTGTCGACTGGACTGCAGAGAGACTGGTTCGTAGCTCTTCATTGGTCAACTTCGCCTTGCCAAGCATCCTGCGCAATTGATTCTTCATTGAGCGGACCAGTCGCTCCCACCATCCTCCCCACCATGGCGCTGCAGGAGGATTAAACGTCCACTTTATTGGTTCCACATCAAAGTTCTCTCCAAGTTCCATGGTATCCAAAGTTTTCATTAGGTTCGCCACTCCCACAAAATTTGTACCATTGTCGCTGAAAATCGTGCGGGGGCGACCATGCACATTGATAAATCTTTGCAGGGCTCCCATAAACGCTTCCGCACTTAATGACTGTACGACGTCCAACGACACACAACGATACACGGCACACGTAAATAGCACAATCCATGCTTTACTTCCATCTTTCAGAGTGACAGGTCCTGCTAGGTCGACTCCAGTCGTCTCAAAAACTTCAGTAGGAGTTACACGTTTCGCTGGGAGGCTTGCAGGTTCAACTGTCAGCGGCTTCGAATCGTAACGTCGACATCTTGGACATTCTCGGATGATGGACTTGATAGATTTTCTCCCTCCCAACATCCAAAACCGTTCTCTCAATTTGCATAATAAGAACTGCACTCCAGGGTGACTGTATATTTGGTGTAGTTCTCTCACCATCATCTTCACAATTGGGTGCTTGCTTGGCAGAATTACTGGACAACGGAAATGATCTGTGTCTTCTTTGTTGAGTAGACGGGTCTTCACACAAAGTAGACCATCATTCTTGACAATTGCCAGCTTCTTGTTAATATTTCTGATATCCGGAATAAGACACTCTTCTTGAACACATTGAAAGAGACGATGTTCTGCTATTTTCATCTCTTGCAGACTCAGCCGATCTTCTTTCTGGTGAACGCCGAGTTTTTTACAATTGGTAATGAATCGAATTATCCACCCCATTACTTTCACATTCTTCCTGAACGATGAGAATTTGCACTGGAACCAAGCATTCTCTCGTGAAACTTGAAGAATTGATCTCTTGTCTTTCTTCCGTTCAGTCTTGATCTCATCTTCGTCCACAACACTGGACGTGGTTGGCCATTTATCCTCTGGACCACGAAGCCACTCCATCCCCTCCCACCATTTCGACGACAACAAATGACTCGACGAACAACCACGGGAAGGTAGATCTGCGGGGTTCATCACTCCAGGGACGTGCCTCCAATTTTCAATACTTGTCAGCTTCCTAATTTCTGCGACTCTATTTGCCACGAACGTGCCCCACTCCTCACTACGTTGTATCCATGCGAGGGCAGTTGACGAATCAGTCCAATGATAGACTTTCTCGATCTCGAAATCCAACGACTCTTGCACCAACTTCAGCAGACGAACTCCAATAAGGCAACCCATTAGCTCCAGTCTTGGTATTGTTCCACCTCGAAGCGGTGCGACACGAGATTTGGCTTGTACGAGATTGATTCTCACTTCTTGTCCTTTCTTACTCCGCACATAGATTACTGCGGCGTAAGCATATTTACTTGCATCAGTGAACAAATGCAATTGCATTTCACTTTGATCATGACTAAACAGCATTTGTCTTGGGATCTTGATAAACGACACGAGATAGAGCTCCTCACACCATTTTCTGAATTTTGTAGACTCATTTTCTTCCAAGTCGTCATCCCACCCCTTCTTTGCTGTCCACATTTCTTGCAGCATGAGCTTAGGTTCCAGGGTCACAGGGCATGTAAACCCGATGGGGTCAAATACTCCGGCCACCACTGACAGAATCTTCCTCTATGTCAACGGTCCTTGTATCACAACTGGCTGTACTTCACATGACAATGTGTCCTCCGACCGATCCCACGCTAGTCCCAAAACATTAGTTTTCTTCTTCTTGACAACATCCACTTTGCTGCACTCCCACTCACGAAGATCCATCTTGGCGTCGGCTAAAATCTTGGTTGACACGGCACGGAAGTCTTCATACTCTTGGGTAGTATCAAACGAAGTGATGCTATTGTCCACGTACATTGATTTAAGGAGTTTCTTCGCTATTATTTTCATGTACTCCTCAACTTGTGATAAGTGCAGCTCTAACACGCCTCCAAGCAGGAATGGACTGCACGTTTCTCCAAAGACGACTCGAGCGTGACGTAATTCCTTGATGGTTTCCATATTCTCGTCCCACCACAGGAATCTCTGATAATCTCGATCTTCTTCACGCACCTCGATCATCTGGAACGCTTTTCTTATGTCGGAGACAACTCCAATTTTCCGTTGTCGAAAACGATGCAAAACAGCAGGGATCAGTTCAATCAGATTGGGACCCTTATACAAACAATCATTAAGTGATGGCTGTCCCTTTACCTTACAGCTTGCATCAAACACAGGACGGACGGGTGTGGTTTGGCTCTCCGGCTTGAACACGGGATGGTGAGGTAAATAGTGACTTTCTCCTGGACTCTTGACATTGACAGGTTCCACTATCCCTTCTTTCTCCCACCCTCGAAATATTTCACTATATTGATTGACAGCAACATTATCCTTGAGTTTCTTTGTTGTTGACTGCAACCTTTTCTCAGCAATTGTTCGGTTTGAGGGAAGGTCAGGTTTCTCGCTTATCCAGGGCAAACCAACACAATAGCGACCGTCTTCCTTCCTCGTCACGTTTTCTATGAAGTGCTTCTTGGCTTCTTCATCTTCTTGAGATTTTGACTTCACTTGAATGGAATCTGTTATTCCCAGAGTATCCAACGACCACAAATCTTGCAAACTAAATTGTCGATGGCACAAAGCAATGGCGACATTAGAGTGGCACGGAACAGGAACTGGTCCACCCAACGCCCAACCAAAAATCGTCTCCTCCGCAAACAAGTCCCCACCCAAGTCGATATTCCTACCCGTCATCACTTGCCCCCTCAAATCGGAACCAATTAGGATTTCAATATCCAAATCTTCTACGCGGGTTGTTGCGAGATCGGAGATATTTATCTTCTTCTTCTTCAGCGTTTCCAGCCATGGTCCAACTGGAACTCTCGGAAGAGAAGTACACACAATTGATTTTTCTCGCAAAATCCAGTTCTTCTTTATGGTGCCGGCTAGATTTTCAATTTCCACTTCTCTTAAATGTTCTTCATGGAGATCTGTCACGTATCCGCCGAGCAGCATATTTCTGACATGTTCGACACCAGTCGACTTTGCGCCGGTAACTTTCACTGTCGTCGCTCCGACGTAGCTGACTTGACTTCCTTCGTCAATCAACATTCTCACAGTTCGAGATCCTCTTGCGCCCATCGCCCGCACCACCACAACTTTCAGGAGCACATCGTTGCTTCTTGCAAAATTATTATGACGGACGACGGAGCTATCTGGTTGCTCAGGCTGACGTTCAGTCTTGTCACCTCCACGACACATGATGAGATGATGCCTATTCCCACAACCACCACATTTCACAGTTGCACTACATTTCTTTGAAATATGTCCAGATTTCAAGCACCGGAAACAGACTTTCTTCTCTTTGAGCTTATCATTTCTCTGCTCCATGGTCATGGTCCGTGCCTTGAAACAATCTTGACTCATGTGATTAATCTTGTCGCAGAATACGCATCCAATTTTACTTGTTGACGATAGACCAGCAGCGGTAGCGACGTCCTCTTGGTGCGCATCTCCGTACAGTGAATCCTTGCTTCTGTCCTTCTGCCCGTAAACCATCTTCAGTTTTCCTTCTCGCTCGACTTCTTGACGGAGGAACTGCATCAGATTATCCAACTTGGTTTTCGGAGGATCAGAAGTAGATAAATCTTCATCATACAATGTTGAGCGGTACCAAGCTGTCAAGATTTCTTTCGGAACACACGTCTCGATCATGGGTCGCAAGAACAATGTGTCCCTCTCTGACTTAACTCCCAACGATGCCAAGGCCTGTAACTGTGTCTGCAGACTGTCATACAATTTTGATAATGGTAACTTCTCTCGCTTTGTTAAGATATCCACTAACTCTCTTGCATACAAATCCACCAGCAAGTCTTCTTTGCCAAAGCGCTCCCTGAGAGCATCCACAGCTTTTTGGTAATTCTCTTCAGTTTTTGGATAACTCTTCACAACATCGGCAGCACGAGTCCCACTCACCATTGATTGGGTCAGATAGTGAAACTTGTCTGTGGTGTGTAAGTCTGAATCCACATGAATTTTCTCGAATTGTGCCCACCACTCAAGCCAATTTTTAAGTTCACCATCGAATTTGTTCAGCTCTATCTTTGGTAACTTGTAATTCTTCTTGTGGTTGTCACTTGAATCCGAACTGCGCGTGGATGGACTGAGGGTTGAGGGGAAAATGATCTTGTTCACTTTATGCCGAATAACTAACACTTTGTCGTAGTAATCTTCTACTGTGGTAAGTTCCGCTGCATATTCTTTGTCGTCAAGATTCCCGTCCAGATGTTGATCTTTCATCTTCTGGTCTAGCTCCTCCACCTCCTCCACTAGCTTATTCAATTTGATTAATTTGATTTCGAGCGTATCTTTGTCCGGTGCGGCCTTGGTCCTCTCTGCGTCCAGCTCGTTCACTACCTTCGTGATGCTTGCTCTGACGGGAGTACGCGCCTTCCTGATCCGGTCCATTGTACCTCGAAATCAATAAATCCAACAAACGAAATCGATTAGAAAATGTTCCCAACAATAATACTCTGGAACAATCTCCACCTCAATCACTCCTGTATGCACAGGATGGGGCCCTCGAAGAGGCTATACGAACACTTGTGATAATTCTGCTTCCCTCCTTCACGGACGTGGCACCCACGGCTCTCTCCAAGGAAAGGACAACACGAACAAAATAATTGAAATGGTATCACCTAGTACACCCCCGAATACTCAGGGTGGGGTCCTCGAAGAGGCAAAGTAGGTTGGTGATTCCTCTGGTCCCTCGCCGGCTTGAAAAATCTCGGTCCGGTCACAAGGGTCTTGGCAACAATGACTTATTCCCCCTCGCCGATTCAGTTTTGCTCTCCTCGGGCACAAGGGCTAGTCTTCTGTCGTCGACACGCTTCTCCTTATCGCGATAACACCAGTAAAAGGGCCCCACGTTGGGCGCCAAATGTTGAGACACAAAGCGATCTTATCCAACTACCCGTCGGGAACGCGTCTCGCTATTAATGGGCCCTTTTCTGATGATAAGTTATAAGGAGATGATACACACACTCGAAAGACACATTGGCATTACTTTTAACAATTTATTGCAATCTCTTCAATTATCAACAATTACAAAAATGAGAATTGCACACACAAGAAAAAGACTACCTCTCTCCTCGAGTTCCAACGGACGACGACTTCTTTTCTCTCTTACTCACACAAAGAAGGAAGCGAGGGTAAAATATGAAGGGAAATACAAACCATAGGGGCAAACTAATAATCATATAATAATGTATAATCCAACACTCTACTTACATATATGTAAAAACAAACTCGAGCACTTTAGGTTCGTTTTTATGCCACATTTTTTTTATTAATAATCCCGCCTTAATGTGACTATCTCCACTTTTATAGACATCCAAATTAGCATGTACACTTTAAACAAAATTTTAATGAATGATTACTGCGCGGAGGGCATATATGACTCTACCGCGATAATAATGATTTGGCATTAAAACAATACTATATGGTAAATCTATACCAACATGGGGTAAATTTTTAAATTCCGTCACGGTAGAGTCATATATCTACTCCGCTGGTTTTTTTATTACCAAGTTGCCAAGAGTGTAGGACATGTGATGATGTAAATATGTAGTATGGAAAATCTTGTGAAATTGTCAACTTCATAGAAATTTACAAACCGGTTCTTCAACTCGTTTGTAAATTACTCCGAGACCAGGTTATTGCACTTTTTTCAATAAAATTTTATTTATTTTATGCAGTATGTCGAGCTAAAAAACAAGCTCGCAGTTCACAACGGATACGCCGACTATGGGGACCGGCTCCGTCAAAAGTATGAAGATCCTGAATTCGAATCTGACGTGGATAACCTGTACACAGAAATGCGACCTTTGTACCTCCACCTCCACGCGTACGTGCGAAGGAAGCTGTTTGACACGTATGGAGGGGAAATAATTGACTTAAAAGGTACCCATGTTTTGGTACTAACTTAAAAAACAAAATCCCCAATTCGATATCTCTCAAGACAAAACACTCTAAGAAATGGGGTGACGATTACGACCATATTTAGACGTAGATATAAGCCTCTGCCGCCACGGTGATAGTGATACACTGCAAATAATTTTGAGACATATCGTCACCCGCGGAAGTACTCTATTTTTAGGTACTGATTGTGGAGGAAGACGTTTTGTCACCAATGGGAAATAAGTCAAAAATTCGTGCACCAAAGACACGTGATCAAGAAAAAATAAATACTTTCAGGTAAAACAAATCCTATATTCGGATAAAATTCCTAACTTTTTTAGACCTAAAATAACGACGTCACGTCTGATCACTTCATGAATATTTTAATTATTTCACGTTGGTGACAAAACGTCTCAAAAGTACCTCCGCGGGAGACGATTTGTCTCCAAATTATTTAGAGTGTAGGATCACATACATAACTTTGAATATTCTCGTCAACCCATTTCTGACCGCACAGTTTTTACGTTTCCAGAAGACCGGCTACTCCCAATTACCCTGCCCAACATTTATGCTACCACTAAAAATCAAATTATTTTTTTTATCAAAAAGAAAACAGTTCCGACATATTTTAATTTTTAGGCACACTGCCCCAATCTCTACTGGGGGATATGTGGGGTCGCTTTTGGGTCAATCTTTACTCAATTGGCGAACCATTCCCAGGAGAGCCGAGTATGGACGTTACGAAAGCTTTGGTAGATCAAGGCTACACAATTAACAGAATGTTTGAAACGAGTGACGCCTTTTACACGAGCATGGGCCTAAAACCTCTCCCGCCCACGTTCTACAACCTCTCAATGCTTGATAAGCCCAGCGATGGTCGGGAAGTCATTTGTCACGCGACGGCTTGGGATTTTTACGATGGGACCGACTTCCGGTAGGTCAAATGTGCTTCTATTTTTATCCCAATTTCTCGAAGATTTCCGTATTTAATAAATAGGATTTACTTTTTTCTCATTACACTCTTAGCTACTTGGTAATAAAAAAAAACAAGTGGAGTAGATATATGACTCTACCGTGACGGAATTAAAAATTTACACCACGTTGGTATAGATTTAGTAATAAAATAACACTTTTTGGTAATAATTTTAACACTAATTTGTGTTACTTTTTTACTATATAGTATTGTTTTAATACCAAATCATTACTATCGCGGTAGAGTCATATAAGCACTCCGCGCAGTAATGATTCATTAAAATTTTGTTTAGAATGTATGGACATAATATGAATGATTGATGTTAATAGAGGCGGAATGGCATAAGTGCTTTCCTGCCGGAATGAGGGGATTAGGTTCGATTCCTAGGACCTGCAGGGGGGTTTTCCTTCACTGCTAATTTATTTATTTAGAATCATTTCTTCTTTTTTGACAGGATCAAAATGTGTACCAAGGTCAACATGGAGGACTTTCTGACAATTCACCATGAGCTGGGTCATGTTCAATATTTCATGCAGTACGCGAACCAGCCAACAGTTTACAGGTTTGTCTCAGAATTTACAAATGTGTAAAATTACGAAATATATAAGAGTTAGGGAAGTGTTTCGATTAACCCGGAAAACTATAGATATCTGAAATGATTACGGACTAATTTTAATAAAAATTTTGTGACAAAGTAGTTACCTTGCTATACAAATCACCATCAACAATAGCTTGCTTCACACCCATCGTGATCACTATCTTTCTGAAAACTGGGGTTAGAGATTTTCCCTGATTTCCTTCCCACATTTGCATGATTCCGGTAAATTCCTCTCGTGTTTTTGATTCATTTGAGTATGTGTATTTAGTCTTTTGCAGTTTGCCCAAAATCTTGAAACGGAATGACATTGGGGAAGGTTGGGGGCAGTGTCCTCAGGACAGACGAAATTTATATTCTTTGACGTGAAGTACTCGTTGACAGTTTTAACATAGTGGCCAGTAGCCAAAACATTATTTCGTCCGGGGAATGATGCTTATTGATCAAAGATTTTAAAAAGCATTGTTTGATCAATTTTTTGAGTAGATTTTCCGTTTCAGGAATCCATTTTTAATGAACTATTCAGAGACTTTTTGGCTTTCAATGCAATTGTATGAAGTGCAGGCCTCCGATTCGGCTCAAATTTTGGAATTATGTGGGCCAAGTCAATACCACCAACGTTTCTTGAGGCAGTTTTTACGATGGTTCGAATTTGTCAAAATATTTGAGGTCAAAGTTCAAAAAGTGAAGATTTTCCCCTTCGAAATGAATGGAGGTGGAGTTTGCTTCCTCCGCTTGGTAAAAATCGCTCGTTTTTCAACTCTGACCTCTAATAGTTTGAGAAATCCTAACCCTCGCACAAACAGCCTAAAGAAATATTCTTTGTATTGATTTGGACTACATAATTCCAAAATTTCAGCCAAATCCGAGAGTTGCACTTCACACCATCGCATTGTTAGTTCAATGCTAGCGAAACCAATTTTTTTCTGGGAATCTGGCAGTCACGTCCTGATATTTGAATGAATTATAAAATTGATGACCTGAAATTGCGGTTGGATCAACTGGCACGTGTATCTCGTCATAGACAACTTTTGGACTACATTTTCGAGCCAGTTGTTTTGTTCGTGTTTATTTTCACTTCCAGCTAATTAATTGAGAAAAATAATTATAATGCAAAATTTTTTACAAGAACCAAGCCTAACCAAATTTTGTCTCATGATCAGACAAAAAAGGGTCAACTCGCGAATCCACAGTCTTTTCGAAACCACAGTTTTTCTCCAGTCCGAATCATTCGTAACACTTCCCTATACGTTTATTTTACCGCCATCTTTTTACATAAATATTTGGATTTTCCTTTCTACAGAGAAGGAGCCAACGACGGGTTTCACGGTATGTCACAAATTGTATGCATACATATGTGGCCATAGCTGTTCAAGGAAAAAGTTTTCAATCAAAATTCATTCATTCGAAAAAATATTGAATTATTGCATTCACTAAAAAATGCAAAAATTTGAAGATAAATTCACACAATAGTCGTCACTCAATCCTCACTTTTTGGTCGTATTTTTTCATAAAGTAAAATATGATTGAATGATGAGTAAAAGGTGCACATTCCTATTCATTTGTGCCATGTGACTCAATATTTATTTATCAATTCTAAAAAATGGATATTTATTATTCTTTGTTTCAATTATTTGTTTAATTAATTGGTGAATTTTTCACTCATTTCTTATAAATGGTTGAATGTGAACAGGTATACATATGTGGCTGAAAACCTGTGTTTATTTAGATTTCTTTATATCGGCCGAGTATGTAATGTTGTTTACCTTGAAATGTAATCTACCTTGAAATTTAGAGGCCATCGGAGAACTCATGTCGATGGTAGTTTCTACCCCAAAGCATCTCTTTGCTATTGGATTGCTGGACCAACTACCAACTGATAACAGTAAGTACTTAAAACCAAAGAGGAATTTGAAGAATCGGCTAATTAAGTAGATAAAAAAGCTGCTTAGATAAAAAAATTGTCCCCAACAATTTCCCCGAAAATACTAAGCAACAATTTATTATTTTGCATTAAATAACAAAAATACTTTTCCAAAATTCTATAAAATTGTTGCTGTTTACTAAACAATGTTTAGTAAAAAAAAATATTAATTCCCAGAACGTTTTGGGAATAAAGGTTCCCATATTCTGTAGAATATTTCATGCCCACACTGTACTTATTTTTAAACTAAATATATCTAAAAGTCAAGTAAACCCTTTAATTAATCTTTCTTTCAGAAACGGAAATCAATTATTTGTTTAAACAAGCCTTATCAACCGTGTCCACCCTTCCCTTCCACTATTTGCAAGACGTCTGGAGATGGCGCGCATTTCGCGGTGATTATCCCAACTTTGCTGAATGGAATGACGAGTTTTGGAAGTTGAGCGCATCAATTGTTGGCGTCCACGCGCCTGCCGCCCGCACCCCGGAGGATCTCGACTGTCCCTCCATCTTCCACGTGGCCACAGACTACGACATGATTCGATACTTTACCCGAACAATCCTCCAGTTTCAGTTTGCCGAATCGCTCTGTGAAGCCGCCGGCCATTCTGGTCCACTCACGAATTGTGACTTTTCTAACTCGACATTAGCAGGGGCTAAACTATCGTAAGTGAAAGCGTAAATCGTTACTATGTGGGTACATTTATTTCACGACAATTCAAATACCGTGCAAATAAACGAGCTATTTACCAGCCAGTGTTTCGGGTGCAGGTAACCACCTGCAAGAGATAACCGCAAGAAAGTGGTTGCTAGCGGTTATTTTTATCCGCAAGAAATACAAGACGCAAGAAACTGCTTCCCGCCACTATAGTTCATAAGGCATACCGATAGATGGCGTGCGTTTTTTGCACCTTCTTTGATTTTTTTCACCTCACATTTCTTGCAGTTTCTTTCTTTGCAATGAATGAAATGAAGCAAACCCGCAAGAAGCGAAACACTGTTGCTGGCATTTTAGTCAAACCGTTTAACGTGGCATAAATGCAACGTGTCCTCAGTTGAACGCTATTGCACCAGAATAATTCTTATGATTTTGTTCAGGAATATGTTGGAAATGGGACGATCCAGACCGTGGGCAGATGCACTCGAGGTTTTGACAGGGACAAGAAAAATGAATGCACGAGCGATTCGAGAGTATTTTGCGCCATTGGAAAATTGGCTCATTGAGACAAATCTCGCAAACGGGGACAGTCCAGGATGGTCAACGAAACCACCTGGCGGCGGTGGTGTCGGAAGTCGGATGTCGGATCGAAGAATTATTTACTTCATGACATTTATTCCTTACGTGTTCGTTGCCTTTATGAGATAAAGTGATATGCATAAATACTAGTTTCATTGTATAGACACTAAATCGGCTTTGTTTGGAAATAAATATTTAACAACTGTAAATACACCAGTTACTAACGAAATGCTATAGTTTTCATTAGGCATCATTTACCGTCCTGAATTATAATTATAATCAACCAGATTGGTAAGGATTTGACCTCGGATAGTCAATGGATTTTCTGTAAGATTCAAAATTGTTACTCTAATTTGGTGTATCACTGAATAGTAATAAATTGGAATTTCGCGGCATTTCTGTATTCCCATGTGGCGTAACTTTACTTCATATGTACCCCAACGCGTATCAAGGGTTAAAAAAGAGTATTTTCAAACTTTCAAATTTTCAAATTCAAATTTTCAAACGCAAATTCATTCATTGCGTTGAAAAATTAATATATCGTACACGGTTTGGTATAAACGAGAATGCCGCCTCGGAAGTATTCCTTAAGGGATACACCATTTATCTATAGTAGAGATTAGTAATGCGAAATTATGAAATTGCTACTAGATTATTTTTGTCTGCAATTAAATGAATTTATATCAGCACATATATCGCCATCTTGAATTAACAATGAAGTGAATTAATAAACATTTATTACTTCAAGTATTTATTTAATGGATTTGGTACTAATTAATCAAATATGCGAGAATATTCACCTTCAAATTTGTCAAACTTGAACAATATAGCGAATTTCTGATTTTTTTCTTGTGTTGAGTACCACTTCGTCGGCCTAGTGAGTAACCCAGTCAAGTCCAAAATGCATCAAAAAGAAATCCAGTCAAGTCCCGTAGAAAATAGGTGGACTTGACTGGATATCTTTTTAAAACGTTTTGGACTTGACTGGATTTCTTTTTGATGCGTTTTGGACTTGAATGTGGTACTCACTAAGCCGACGACTTCAAATTATCCCGATTTAGGACCAGCTACTTCTCCAAGGTATGCACTCTTCCCAAGTGCTTTACCAGCTCGGAAAACACATGGAATTTCTTGCCACAAAAATAGCAAGTTTTTCCCTTCATTCCGACGTGCATGCGATTTATGTGCGTCCTAAGGCTAGATTTTACCAATGTTTTGTACTCGCATTTCTCACATGACAAGATCTTCTTTGGCGCATGATTCGTCGCCACGTGATATCTCATACCAGTTGAAGACTTTAACTTCTTGTCGCAAAGGGTGCACTGAAAGTGTGCCCGGTTTAGATGGTTGGCCTTAATGTGACCTCGTAGTCCTTCTTGACACAAGAAAGTTTGAGGACACGTGTCACACTTTAAAACCTTGCGGGTAGATTTGTCCAGGTGGGTTCTCTGAAAAAGTGGGAGATATGATTTCCAAAACCTACAAGATTATTGGGTTTTGCCTCATACCTATAAATTGTAGGGTCTAAATGATATTTTCCCCAAAATAATAAACTTTTTACCCCATAAAGCAATGGGTAGCCTTATAATTAATAGATACTATTCAGTGCATCCAAAACCGGAAGATTTCGTAAAACCGGTTTTCGATTTTTCCGATTTTGGAAAACTATCGTAAAACCGGTTTTTGATTTTCTCCTAAATCGGTTTTAAACCGGTTTACACCAAATTTTGAAAATTTTGAAAATATGATTCAGTAAAATTTAAAGTATAACAAACTTAATTTGGAAGAAATATTTCAGAAGATTTAATTTATATTTGAAAAACAGAAAATGTTAAATTTTTAGTGGCTACGAAACAATTTATATGGAAAATCGAAAACCGGTTTTTAACCGGTTTCACAAAATCGGAGAAACCGATTTTGGATGCCCCAATACTATTACGTTACGTAAATTAAAATTAATTAACCATTTAAGTAATTCTACACAGACAAACGTACATATTCCTTTATTCGTACCTCATGCCTCCTGCAGTGATGCAGGGCGGCAAAGCTCTTCCCACAAGTCGAACATTTGTGAGTTTTTTCCGTCGTATGGGTCGCAATGTGGCGGATGTGGTTCTGCTTTTCCTTAAATTTCTTGCCACAAAGGGTGCACCAATATCGGACCGGATTCGCGTCATGTTCCACCCTGATATGTATGTATTGGTGGGGTGACGATCCTGCCATTGTTAGACAGGACCAATCAGCTGCGTAAGCACTTATGGCTTATTGCAGTCTCCCCATACACGGCACGTGCCTTAATGTGCTGAATCCCCTAACCTCCCCTAAGACAGATAAATCCCCCATGACTTAAAAATCCTCCGGTCCTGACTATAAATTAAGTCAGGACCAGAAAGAGATTTGGACATTCTCCGCCAAATTCTGGTGGCATATTTCTACACCTCCCACTTTTCGGTACATCCTAGGTAGCGAATCCTCCATCGCACGACGACCGGCCCAAAAAGAACCCCCGAGTGGTTCACCACCACGACCAACTCCTAAGGAACTCAGTGGGTCGCAGCCCCACCAGAGTCAGTCCGCCGGGCCGCCCACCGTGCGGCAGAGCCCCCCACCAGTGATGAACTCAATTACTCTACGCTCTCCACCACAGCGTATGCAATATTAACAGTGGGCGAGGACTTGGTTCAAGGCCCACGGACTGACCACCTGAACGAGAACTGCTCATTTCTCAGTCCCGCCCCCTGCCCCAGAATCGGCGTGGTGACCGACTCAGGGTGGCTCGTAGTCAGGAGGGTCTGAGACAGCGCTCCGCGCTGTCTCAGACCCGTTGTCTCAGACCTAATTTTGATTCCACCCAGGGCACTTGTTCCTCCTCCCAGCCCAACCTGCAAAAAATAAATATTAGTAAACTAAAACATATTGCAAGCCACGTTGATGGACACGTGGCATGCAAGGATTTTGGGTGAAAATAAAGTGTGGGGGTGGTTCCCTGCTGTGAACCACCCACCCTGACATGTTTCTTACTCCCCCCTACACACTCAACACAAAAATGTGGCACCCCCACCTCCTCTCCTCGAGAAAATAATTTCTCTGGAAATTAGTGGGAGAGGAGAAAAAAAACACATGTCTCACTTCAAACTCCCGCACGCACCCTGATATGTTGCGGAATGTAATTTTTGCTAAGAAAGGTTTTCCCACAGCTTGAAAAAGTGCAAGGGTGCCGTTCTCGCTGCGAGGTCAAGACGTGAACTCTGCTCAGGTGTCGATCAACCTCTCGCTGGGCGAAGAAGGATTTGCCACATTCTAAAAATGTGCAAGCATATCGTGAGCCTTTCTGGTGAATTCTTCCCATGTGATCCAACAAATTTGACGAACTGCCAAAATCATGGGTGCAAATTTCGCACAAGTATTTTCTCCTGGGTCCGTGCATGTATCTCCGGTGTGTTTTGAGGACGGCGGGATTTTTTAAAGTTTTCCCACATATCTAAATAAATAAATACATAAATATTTTAGATTATAATATAAATTGTTTGGTTTATAGTATCTCTAACCTCGCAATTTACTTGAGCATTATCGTCATGCGCTTCGGTGTGATACTTTAAATATTTTTTGGTTGTAAAACCCTTCTCGCAGTGGGCACACTTGAAACTTTTATCTTGCTTGATGTCCATTTTTGGGTTTTAAATTTTGCAAAATTAATTTGAAATTTTCTATTTCCCTTATCAGAAATTTACGCGTAGATAGATGGAAATTGTCCAATGAATTTTACGATTTGAAAACTAAATAACTTGTTCTTAACCCTGTACATAAATTGCCGCTTTTTTAGCCGATTGCATGATACACACCCAGAAAATTTTATCTCGCTCGTCAAGAGCGCTGTGTATTAGCACTATTAACCATATTTACTAAAATATTACCATAAAAATGACTTCGTTTTTAAATGTTTCGCTTGTTTTATGGTTAAGTTTTATCAATAAGAGAAGTCCGTAGATACTCAGAATACTCAGAGGACAAATCCAGCTTCATTTTGAAATTTTCGGGTCTCAAGGCCCGGCGTCTGTCAGAAACGTCTTATTTGTTCACATTAAAACTTGCCAACTTAATACATATTTACGATGAATTAAATCCCTCCAGACGAAAGTCAATGTAATATGTAAATTTCGGTAAATTCCTTACAATGAATTATTGTAAGTAATCCGTAGCTTGTGTCGTCTTCTGGTATGTATTGCTCAAAAATTTGATTATAGGAATAAACTGTATTTAAAAAAACAATTTTACTTACTTAATTTCTAATCAATTTAATTAATAAGCCTTAATTTCAGTATATGTATTGGAACTAATGATTAACAGTTCTTTCCCAACTACATTATAAAGTTTACGAGAAGGTAATTTGAAGAAAAACGTGGAAATTTAAGACTCTCCAACTAAACTTAAACTTTATTAAAACACATTCTCAATTATCTTTTATGAAAAATAAGTATTAAAAAAACTCGGCCACCCAGCTAAAATAAATATAAATCACAGTAAATACTCTATTTATAGCCCTGTTCTAAGTAAAGCCGGGTCTCTAATTATGACCCTGCTTGTCCGCTATCTATATTACCAGCCTTTCAATGAAAATTTATGCACATTCGTTTCATCAAAAAAAGGTTGAAATTATTAAAAGCATTTATTTAATTTTTACAACAATTCATCTAATCGTGATAAAATTACTCCTAAATCTCGTTTAAGATGATTTTGATTTCACGTGAATTATGTGAATTGATAGCATATCTTGTTAAATGAGAACTTATTTAATTTAAGGCAAAATGAATTCTACATTATTTTCTAATGTTTAAAATTTAGGCGAAAAAAAACTAGCCCAGTCTCTAATTAGCAGTTGTGATTTTCTCTAACAAGGGAAGGTCCCCGACTGCTAAGCGTGCCCAGGATACCCACTATGTTTCTTAGAATCTACTAGGACCCTAGACAAAGGATTCATTCATATTTACGTGTTAATCGCATATTTGGCGCCATGGCGTGGCGCCAAATTCGACAAATTTGTATGTTTTTATTTTTAAAACCGCCATAACTTTTGAAATCCCGGGCGGTTTTTCAAAAAAATTTCCAAAAATCATGAAAAAGAGTTTAACTTTCGTATGCCATCCAGTTTTTCAAAATATTGATTGTTTGAAGTTTTGTCAAAATTTTTTGATTTTCCTAGAAACGGGGGTTTGGCGAAACTTTTTGAAA